CTCTCTCTCTCTCTCTCTCTCTTTCAGAAAATCACTGACCACTATCCGATGGGAGCCGTCCATCTAGGTGGCTACTCATTCGGCGCCTGCGTCGCCTTTGAGATGGCACTACAGCTGCAGCAAGCGCAGCGCACCGTCGGCCATCTTGTCCTGCTGGACGGCTCGCCAGTGGAAATTGGCGCTATCGCGGGCAGGTACCGGGGGCGTGCACGCACATACGGTGTCGCCCACGAAGTGGAGTTCTTGTCGAGCGCAATGTGCAGCTTCATGATGCTCTTCATGACTGTCGACTTCATAAAGGTGTTTATACATAATTTATATATATATGTATATATGTATATATATATCAGAAGTAGATAGTAGTATTATCTGTTGTATTCATCTCAATAAAATTGGAGTAAACCAATGTTCAAGGATAATCAAGAACATAGGGCTCTAGTAAGCGCTGCCATTGGTTGATACAAATGACGTGCCTCAAACTCCTGTGCCTCATTATCTTAGGAAAAAAATCACGCATGGGGCATATGGTGCTTGCTGATTAAATGGCTGACTGGCTTTGTTTGTGATTAAATTCAATGATTGCACACGGTAACAGTGAATATGCGTTTTCACTATGGGACGATGGTAAACAAACTTCTGTACATGTTGATGTGGGCGGAGTGGCGAATATTCCGATGATTGTTGACTCTGGTTCTAGCTGTAATGTGATTGACGAGACATTATTGAGTGAGCTAAAACAAAACCATATCAAATGTACATCATGGAAAGTGGACAAACAATAGTTTGCATACGGAAGTGATACACCAATGCAAGTGCTTGGATGCTTCACATCAGACATGGCTATAGGAAACAGCCGAGTTCAAGGAGAGGTTGTTGTCGTAAAAGGGAAATGTTAAGCATTACTGGGAAGGAAAACTGCTGTCGATTTGGGTGTGCTTAAACTTGGCATTGATGCATCTTTTGTAAACACAGTACAAGATGACACTGAGCTGTTTGATAAATATCAAGCATGTTTTGAGGGTTTAGGCAAGTTGAAAGATTATCAACTAGACATTACTTTTTACAGTACAGTACAGCAAGTAGCTCAGCCAATGCGCAGAATCCCATTTAGCTTGAGAGATAAAGTTGAGACGAAACTTAAAGAGTTGGAGGATTTTGATGTTATAGAGAAGGCTGAAGGTCCCATCCCATAGGTGTCTCCTGTAGTTGTTGTTCTTAAGGGGGACAAGGATATCAGACTATGTGTTGATATGAGGAGAGCTAATGCTGCGATTATCAGGGAGAGACATCCAATTCCTACTGTAGAGGAAATCCTGTATGATTTAAATCAGAGTACCGTTTTTAGTAAACTGGACATAAAGTGGGCGTTTCATCAGATTGAACTTTCAGAGTCGTCACGTCCTATCACAACATTTGTCACGCATAAAGGACTGTATCGTTACAAGCGTCTCAGGTCCGGAATTTCCTGTGCTCCCGAGATGTACCAACGTGTGATACAACTAACCCTCCAGAGTTGTGAAGGGGTTAGAAACATATTTGTTCGTCCGTGGATCGTCTGTGGAGGAGCATGACAGGAGACTGGAGAATCTTTTGAAACTGATCCAGGAAACGGGACTAACGTTAAATAGAGACAAATTTATGCAAATTTCGCATGTCGGAACTAGTATTCATGGGGCATTTGCTATCTGCAAGGGGAATAGGCCCCCACAAGGTAAAAGTTTAAGCAGTTGATGAGGCGAGACAGCCAGAATCTACTACAGAAGTGAGAAGCTTCTTAGGATTAGTAAACTACAGTTCGAGATTTATACCTGATTTGGCTACAGTTGCAGAGCCATTACGTTGATTGACAAGGAAGGGAGAACCATTTGTGTGGAACAAGGTACACGAAGACTCATTTAACGAGTTGAAGCACAGACTAGCCAGTACAGATACACTTGGTTATTTCAACAAGAATGCTGTTACCAAGCTCATCACTGATGCTAGTCCTGTAGGACTTGGCGTTGTGCTTGTCCAAGAACACTTGGGAGAAGATCGGGTTATCTGCTACATTAGTAGGAGTATGACAGATACCAAAAGGAGATATACTCTCAGACAGAGAAAGAAGCATTAGGTATTGTGTGGGCATGTGAGCGTCTTCATATGTATTTGTATGGGACAGAATTTCTACTGTTGACGGACCATAAACCACTTGAGTGTATATATTCGGACAAATCTTCGGGAAGGGCGAGCGCAAGAATACACAGATGGGTGCTTCGACTGCAATCGTATCGGTTTACAGTAAAATGGATTCCCGGTAAACAAAACATTGCAGACTGTCTGTCGCGCTTGATCCAGTCTAAGGGAGACAACCCTGGGGAGAACAATTGTTTTGCTGACTGTGAGGAATACATTAGGTTTGTTGCTCACAATGCAACACCCAAAGCTCTGTCTACCCGAGAGGTAGAGAAAGCATCTGCTGATGATGAGGAACTAATGTAAGTTCGATACTGTATTCGAACAAATCAGTGGCAGAAATGAACCAATAAGCGTCTCCTATCAGTTAAAGATGAACTGTGCATAATAGGAAAGCTTGTGTTGAGAGGAACGAAGTTAGTGGTCCCCAAACGACTTCGTGAGACAATACTTGAATTGGCTCATGAGGGGCATCCCAGAATTGTGTGCATGAAGAGGAGGCTTCGTTCCAAAGTATGGTGGATGGGAATGGACAAAGATGTCGAGAACTTTGTTAAAACGTGTCATGCTTCTCAGTATCAAGCAATATAAGTATTAACCAATTTAGTAGCAGTAAGTAATAGGCAAGAAATAAGTGTTAAGCAAGAAGCAATCAGTTATTATATTATATTATATACTAAACTTTCCAGTTGGCATCCCAGGCACGTGGCATCCAGTAGTTATACTTTCTCCACTTCAGTTCATTGAGTGGGAAGCTGATTGAATCGTATGTGGGTTAGCATAGCGAGTCGGCGTCCCGTAGAGACGGTCCGGGCCTCCGCTTCACAGCTGCAGGCACCGCGGTTAGACTGCCCCCTGCCATCGTTAGTGTCTGATTCTCTCTCCTGCTGTAGGTGCACCGTGAACTGCTGGCGGCAGACTCACAGGAATCGCGGGTAGCTTACGCTACCGAGGTGCTCCTACAGACCGGTCTCTTCCACGAGCGGAGCGGCCTGGAGGAAGCTGCGTGGTCGTACTACAAGAAGCTGGTCATCGCTGACCGTTACCAGGTGGATGAGCATTACCATGGCAACATCACACTGATCCGGACGGAGTATGGACACGCGCGGAGCGAAGGACGTGGAGAAGATTATGGTTTGCACAGAGTGAGTCACCTACAAATGTCGTGCTGTCAACTCTAGCTTAACTCGCGTCTGCTACTCTGTTCAACATCTCTTTTGAATTCTTTTTTGATTCACCCATCACTTCTCACTTTTGCTGTCTCTCTCTCTCTCTCTCTCCCTCTCCCCTCTCTCTCGCTCTCTCTCCCTCTCTCTCTCTCGCTCTCTTTCTCTCCCTGTCCTCCTCTCTAATTAAGTTATCTGTCTGAGTTCAGCAAACGTTTCATTGAGTGTCTGCCTCTGGTTTATAGGTGTGCGACGGAGTGGTGACAGTGCACAGGATAGCGGGAGACCACGTGACTTTCATGGAAGGCGACCGGGCCGTCGCCACGGCATCGGCGATCCTTGGTCATCCGGCGCCGACCGAGGCATGTTGATGCATGGCGTCGTCATAGTAACCTGTAGGTGTAAGCTGCGGCATCTACCGGGAGATGTGTGCGCTGATTAATATGTGCAAGAATATACCTGCGTTGAACACATTAACTTATACGTATATAATTAACCCCTATATATATAATTATAGTAGATAATTTTATATATATTTTATACATAGTTAACGTTCATATAATCACAATAACTATTATTATTATTATTACTACTATTACATATTATCTTTCTTGTTCTAGTTTAATGTAGGATTGGGCTTAATTGAGCATTCTGTATACGTTTCAATATTGATTCTCATTGTCACAGATTACATTCAAATTAGTTAGTAATCCGTGTTCAGATCAAGAGCACATGAACTAAGTCTAGTACGTTTGAGCTTGTGTTCAGTTTCAGTTTGTGTGTTCTGGATCAGATATAACTGCAATGACAAGCCGAAGGGATGCATGCATGACTAGAGTCATCGCATATACTATATATGTGCGTGCGTGTGCATGCGTGTGCGTGTGCACTGTGCATGCGTGCGTGTATGCATTCGAGTGTGTGCGTGTGCATGCGGGGTGCATGCGTGCATGTGCATATGCGTGTACATACGTGCATGTGCGTGTGCGTGTGCATGAGCGTGTGCGTGTGTATGCGTGCGTGTGCGTGTGCATGCGTGCGTGTGCGTGTGTATGCATGCGTGTGCGTGTGTATGCGTTCGTGGGCGTGGGCGTGTGCGTGTGCGTGTGCGTGTGTATGCGTGCGTGTGCGTGTGTGCTATGGACTTATAATGCGCGTCCTATGACAATGTAAATGTAAAGTACAGGGGCCCGATATGAGAAACACACGTATAGCAATAACATAATAATTAGGTCTTTGTCTAAATCGTCGTAGTGTACTAAAAGTGAGGTGCCGTGCAAAAATTATTATATTTTAGGCTGTAGGCCTATTCCAATTATATTTTTTGCGTTAATATAGTAGAGATCAGTGGTCCATATTCATTTTCCTTGTGACATGAATAACATGACATCAAGAGTAGATAATAGAGACTCTATTATCTGCTCTTGATGACATGAATGACATGAATGAAATTTAACAAAACGTTTGTTTCGATTTGTATTTGGTTAGTATTTGTGTTTCACTAGATTTAAATAAATATTTTCCTAAATTAATATATTCCGTTTGTAAACGTACACATTGTATGCGTTTTTTATTCTGCTAGAGTGACGCAGAACAAACGAATCGTATTGCAAGAGTTAAAAAGGCATGAATAATTGTAATTTTTCCACGTTGTTTATTTTAAAATAAATATCTCTAACCTATAAGCAACAGATTCATGTTCAATATATTTGTGTTCAGATTCGTGCTCGACAATTTACTTACTGACAGTAACCCGATCCATGTCTCGAAGTCAAAAATTATAAATAATAAAATTAAATTATATAGAAAATATAATAATATTTGATATGTAACCTACATAGGCTTCCGTGAAGTGTTCCCGTCAGTTTGCGCTATCGTTATCATCTACCATAGTTTATTCTGGATTTTTACTAAACATTTGAATGTGGTAAAAAAATTGAAATCCACGGCGAATACCGCAGAAGTACATACTAAACAGTCCAAAAGAAAAGAAATAAACTATTTACCGAAGTGGGATTCGAACCCAGAATCAATGGTTTAGGAGGCCGATGCTGTATCCATTTGGCTACTGGGCCGTTATGGTTATAGACCGTGGATTCACACGTACGTGATGTATAATGTTAATCTGTACGCCATCTATTGATGAATATAATTTTTATGAATTTTTAACTTTTTAGAAATTTTGATTCAGCCAGAACCACCTCCCTAATTCTGAAAATATATTTAGTTTTCCTCTAGGCTGCGGAGTTCTCTAGTTATGCGCGAACACACAAATTCGGCTGAACAACTTTATATATACTCGCAAAATGACCGCCTACGGCGGCCATATTCGCGTCCGTTACGGGCTGATGAGACTATAGGATGATTCTCTAAATCCCGGCCCGATTCATAGTAATCTCTTAAGGTAAAATATTGACTTGATACGAAGACAATAATACAAGGATCCTGTTACTAACGATAAAATTTTCTGTCCCGGTAATATAATTTATATATAAAACAGCCCTTGTATCACACTTCTAATCCATTGTTTTTCTTGTTCCAAATTAAGCGCTAATATAATCTACGGAACCCCGCTAATACGATTATTCTTCTTTGGACCCCGTCAGTTTTCGGTAGCTAACTGGGAGTGGCACTGTGAAGTAATGAATACTAAAGTCATTGAAAATGAGGAGTTAGGCATGTTGCAGTAATATGGTATCTATTTGTAACGCTAACAAAGTTCTTAATTTATATACATATATGAACCATACCTTGAAATGTTTCCGCCGCATATCATAAGCTACTCTAGCAGGCAAAATCACGCCACGCGGGCCGGTGCGACCGCCCGGTGCCAAAGGCCGCGTGTGGCGCCACTGGCTTGAAGAATCAAGTGGGCGGTGGCCTTGATACTTTATTCAAAGATACGATGCTCATAAGCAACGTCGCTCCAGAGACCAGTCCAAGACAGGGATAATATAGTTCCTATAGGTGCTTTCCAAAGATCTCCTTGTGATGAAACAGTGTAACGTGTTATTAAACATAAAATCAATAAACAAAATCTATCTTACTCAGGCCCAGACCTTTACCCTTTGAAATTATTAAAACTTCTTCCTATTCTTGTCGGCTCCAGGATGGTCCGTGTTTGCTAAACATGTTTTTTTGCAATGTTCAGCTATAACCTCAAGGACATCCTGTTGTGGTGTGAACAAAGTTCGAGCAATACAGGAAACAACTGATCAAGTCGTTGCTGGGTTTGGTATGTGTCCCTGCTGGCGGAGAGCCTTGCCCCCTGCAGTCCTAACCCTGGTCAGCTTGGTCTGCCACCTACTGGAACTCGCAAAGCTTCCAACTCGTCTCTGAACAGAAAACTAGACAGGTTTAATGCCCTTAAATAATATTAAAGTTAATTCACGTGAATAATACTTACAGACTCACATAACATAACGAACTGAGTGCCTACAAATATCACTAAAAACGAAATCTATAAGAATGTGTGACTTGCTGGCGTTAGTCTTACAAAATTTTTTCTAACTATGGGCTGTTGTGGCCTGACAAAACACGAGTTTCTTGCTATTTGAGTCGTATTAACCCGTCGCTTGTCGTCACTGCGACAGAACGCAGACACATGGCCGCCAGGCCATCGTTGTCAAGTTAGATCCCATCATTGACCTTATTCCAACAGTGGTGGCCTCCGTGCTAACCCCGAGGCGCTATTCTCTGAATGGTCCGAGGGTACCCGATTGGTGTAGCGTGTAATATACGTTCGTAGACAGTAGTACGTAACAGTTGTATAAACGGTAAACAACTTATAGCTTTATTCTAAACACGAGCAGTGACAGTGTACACATACCAAGTCCTAGATGGGGTCGCCCTCGAACTCACTCAAACCCTCCCTTTTATCCGTCTCTCTCGACCTCGCCACCGCGCGGCGGTCTTTGTCGAAGGCCGTTGTACCCCGGCCTTGTCGCCATCCCCTGTCATTAAGGTTCTGTGTCCCCGCTAGCGCATTGAGCAGGCCATAACGCGTGCCCTGCTTACTACTGTGTCCATGCAGCTAGCTAATTTAATATTCATATATCGCGCGCCCTATATACCGAATGCGCTTAACGTACATTCCTATATGGCACGCCGTACAGGCGCGGCGATCATGCATGCATGACCTTGGGGGGGGGGCTGCGTAGCATATAAGCTACGACAATATATATATGCGATTTGCACACGGGGGTAATTCTAAATAAACTGTTATATCACTGTTACACTACTCCGTCTAGTCTATATATGCTAACCAAAACCATATATTACACTTATAAATGATTATTTAGTGGGACAAACTGATGGTAGACAAAATGGGAATTTTGCCGTAGATGAAATGGGAGTATCGTTTCGTGGTTATCTACTGGTCATCATTTTATTATTGAAACGTTCCAAGTGCCTGTGGTTCGATTAATTAACGTTTCTACAAGCCAACTATTTCCTCTCATATCATCAAGTCCGACCATATTCTTCGTCGACCCACAGGCACTTAATTTGAGCGTCTCGTTAAAAAATAATGCTAAATGAAGACAAAATGTATTGCAGGGCTCCCAAGTATCACGCGTTTGGCGTGAGACTCATGCAATTCAGCACAATTTCTGATAGTCCCCGAAAATCTCACGCAATTGCAAGAATCCAGCTTTTCTTCGTTGCGTGGAGTGGATCTAGCCGAATTTTGCCGAAAAACGCGGGACACGAGGCACGGGAATCTCGACATTTATTACTTGTGGCGCACCAAGCGACTGATTTGGCTAATCTGACGTCACGCGTTACTATAAATAGCCTTTCGCAGTGTTGGTCGGGCGCGAAGCCTGCTGGAATCTCGGAAAATCTAGGCGATCAAATTTTCCTCCCGCCACCCACCCCCTCTTCGCGCCTTCGGCCTTAGATTATCTGATTCAAAATAAATCTCACTCATTTTTAAAGCTACCCCTTGAGAGCTCTGGTATTGACTACCAAAGTCTTAATGTTCCTCTAGTAGTCTACTCTCTTTCGCCTATTATTGCCGATAGCTTTCTGTAGGCCTAAATGCCGTTCAAATGCTCCTCTGCTACACACAGGTACACCGCACACACTGCTGCACATTTACACTTATACATAGTACTTACTATATACACACATATATATTAGGGGTGCACCGGAACTTGGATCCGGCCGGAACTATCCGGCCGGATCCCCAATTTTTCAGAGTTCCGGTTCCGGCCGGAACCCTTCAGAAGCAGTCGGCCGGAACTGGAAATTTTTCTTAATTTCATTTCTGCTACAAGAGTCATCAAGGTCAAAAGATCAGTCACTTATTGTAGTTGAGAGTCAATAGAGTCAACTTGCTGACAATATACAGGGTTTCTTCTGAGGGAAAATTAGACAACGGCGGTAATGGCCAGTTTGGGGAAAAAACGCACATGATGGATTCAAAGGCGTGCAGTAGGCACGAATGTGGATTCTGCAGGCAGACGCAGGGGGGGGGAGGTAGAGGGGGTTCTGGGGGTCTCCCCCAGCAACATTTTTAAAATGTGGATGTATTAGACTGCATTTGAGGCACCCCAAAAATAAAATTTCACCTTTTAGTTTAAATCTTACTCTGTTAGCAGACCCACCAAGTCTCACGCTGCGTATTTCGCGGGAGACTCACGCATCTGGACCCATTCTCCCGCACTCACGCATGCCCTACGCATTCATGCAAAAGAAAAAACCAGAAAATAAGCAGCCTGTGACACTCCTGTTACCCACGTTCATGGCTGTGCACATCGTGGCTCGTGCTTGCTGGCTG